TGCGCGAAGATAGAAAGAATACACACTAGGCGTGAGCAAGACAGAAATAGTTGGAACAAGCTTGAACGAGCAGAGGTCTCGTTTGGCGGTCTTAGGAGATCGACTAGAAGTGTACAGTACTAGACGAAAATGTTTAGCAATTTCTTAAAACAAAAATGTATATAAATTAACAATAGAAAACAAAGCAAACGTTTTATAGGTCTGCAGAGCGTTAAGTTAATTCACTTGTTCTTATTTTTGGCTAAATATGCTTTTAAATAAAGCTTATTCTTAAATTATAACGAGGCAGTTTAAATAATTTTTCAAATGGTACTGCACATTTTTGTCTAGCTCTCGCTCGATGATCGATGAAGAAATGAGCTCCGCAGACACATATGATTGAATTTGGAATTTTGCTACGGCGCATCCTAATAAAGGGAAGGGGCATATCCCTAACTTCCTGAAACGAATAGTAGTCGTCAATATTTTAATGGATTTTTATGTCCCTATCTGTCAGATACGAAAAACACTTGATATATAACATTTTACCGCCGTATGGTGTAGAATTTTTGTAATTAAAAGTACACTAAGTAGATAATTTTACACAAAGGCAGACGTATGTATAGGTAAATTGTAAAACCGCAGCAAAATGGAGATGGTACAGTAGTGGAGCCGTTCAATTTGGCAAACATATTACCGTGCAATGCGACCGCGGTCGCAATTGCGGCGCGTACAGTGTACTATAGCCGCAATACTAAATCCATCACGCAATTAACTTCGAGAACCGCTCTATATAACCAAAATTTAATTACTGACTCAAACAGCACCGTTAGATGGGCGACAATCCGATATTTGCATAACTCGGGCTGGTACTTTATCGTTCGCGAACGACAACGACATTTCAAATAAAGCCCCACTCGGGGCACATGTTTAATTTAAATGCCGGCGACGCGACGGACGCTGTGGTGGCGGCGCTCTCTGCAATGGGTACTGGGACCTTGTGTGCTTAGTTTCCATAATTTCCTACTTTCCCTACCCAGCAAGCATTAAAGGGGATGGTATATATTGTATGTGCATGTTTATTGGGAAATCAATCAAAACAGCTTTAACTTCCCTGCTCCTTGTTTCCGTCAAATTACATTGTAATAGGGGTAGTTTTACAATATTGGTTTAATTAAATCGTTAATTAATACTAATAGTGTACTTGACGATATCTACAACCTATTCTGTTATTATTGAACCTTAAAAATTAAACCCTGTTAAAATTATTTAGTAAAACCATTGTTTAAATTTTGACTAATTATTATTGTGATCAGATAGATCATTTGGTGAGCTAGTGAAACTAAAATCCTTAGTACATAATTCTGTAATAAAACTTTAGTAACTGTTAAGTGTTTTTATGTAATTTTGTTTGAATATGTAATATTTTTCGGTTTTACTGGGTGAAAGCTTTCACGTAAAGTTTCCGGCAACAATACAGGTAGAAATAATAATACCACCTAAAATAATAATCGTTCAAATAAGAATTATAAATTGGTTGATGAAATTATAAAAAATAAATAACAATAACGTAGTACATATTCGCCTACGGTAAAGTTATAAATGCCCCCTTTGTTATTCATTGTTTCCATTGGCGTAAAATTCGGTTATAGCCATTTCGAAAGAGCCGACAAAATTCGGCTGTTATAGACTATGAACGTTGCAAACAATATATGTATTTATTTAAAAAACATAGGTAAGTACAGTGTAAACTCTTTATAACGTCACTCGATTTAACGTCAAACTCCTTAAAACGTCGAAATTGCTTGACTGGTTGGTTTACATTGTTTTCAATACAATACCACACTCTATATAGCGTTACGCTCACTCTATTTAACGACAACAATGCGGTGTTACAAATCATTGAGCAGTACTTTCTAAGTTGCCGAAATAGATAAGAACTGCAGCTGTGTATGTTGTTGAAGAAAACGATCCTGTCCCTCCACCAAGCATCAAACAAGCAATTGAGGCAGCGAAATTATTAAAAAAATACTTTTATATAATCAAATTGATCCAGCAGTATCTCAAGATATGAGTAAGATACGTAACAAAATACAATTAAAATATTGGAGCAGCAAAAAACATCAGACGAAGATAACAAACTATACGCAATGTATGAATAATAATGTTCGTGTGCAAAATGTGTACTATATTGGTAAATGCATATTATTATAGAATAGTAAAATAATATCTTTTATTTCTCTCCATTTAACGACCACTCTTTATAACGCCGAAAAATGTTCAGTCCCTTAAGTGTCGTTATATAGAGTTTACACTGTATTTAGGAGCTTATAAAAGAAATATATAATTCATCCATATAAAACAGAAACAAATATATACAGTACTGCAAATGTGATTGTAAAATATGCAATTTCATACAACTTTTATTGGAACAACTGATTGATCAAAATGAAATGAAACTAAAGCTAAAAAGACTTTCAGGCTCCGTTCTCCGGCTGTAACGAATCGATTACTAAATTTTGTGGTAGGTGCCTTTGATGATAGAAATCCTTGATGAATAAGCGGGTTTGTTGTATGTATAAGACAATTTTGTACACACTATCGAACCAAACAAAAGTCCGCATTGACCACCCGATATCCGGATTAAAAAAAAAATCAAATTTACGTTGTAAAAACTTTATTCGTCGCTATAAGAGAAGATATTATATAAATTCATAGAAACTCCTGCCTGCTTCAATAGATTCATTGGAGGTTGGCCGGGTACCCGGCTTGAATCCGGTACTCGGGTACCGGGTTTGGATACGGTAAAGCAAAGTCAGAACCGGTGCAGCTTCAATCGAACGTTGTTGTTGAAGTGTAAACGCGATCGATATAAAATTTAGTGAGTTGTTACTTCATTCGGAATTGTTTAGTATTTTTCTATGCTGTGCCCGAAACAAAATAAGTGACCTTTTACCCTTTGCCCTCATATAAGTGCGCGCTTAGGATTATATGTAGGTATATCGTGGTGTTTATACAACTAGATAATGTGGTGCATTTCCTAGTGTGTATAAAGATGTGCACATAACACGGTTTATTAACTGGCAATTTACGTCGAAAACAAAGGAATAAGAGCGAGAATATTTATCACTTTTATCCTTCGCCTCTCACAGAGGAAAGCGCCCAGCACACAAAAGCTGCGTTATTACGCTTGGAAAACTAAATATTGCTCGAACTGGCGATGAAGAGTACAACATGAAAGAGCCACACGTTTGAAGAGGGATTATTTCCAGTTATCCAGCAAAGCTTGCTCTCTCAAGTCGCGCCTATTTTCGTTTTCATATTTAACCAGAAAAAAGACGTTTTGATTTCACTAAACCGGCTTTTTCTAACTGCTTAATATTGCACTTTGTAAATACTATGAAGATTAACGATTTGATTTCATCTAAAAAAAGTTCGAAATATTCTTATGTTATCTATCCTGTTTGTAAAGCGGATAGCTCCCTGTATAATTCTTTATTACAAATATAAGAAATTAAATGTAAAGTAAATTTTACGAAAACATGTCTTTAACAATACTATAAGCAGGCGCTTATATAAATATAAATTTTTTGGATTTAACGGTAAAACGGTATATCCTTCATGGCTATGTATAATAAATGTTGGAAATCGGGCATTAACGATAATTTTGCTATTTGTAAATGGTTTATCATATTAATTCAGGCAAAAAAGTGGGTGAGTGGGAAAAATTATTCAGATTAAACTATTTTACGAAATTTTGTTCGGAAGATTCTCCTAAATACAATGATGTAGGTTATAGTCGGTAAGTCGGTCAGGTATTGTTTAAATTAAGATTGTTTAAACAAATGGCAAAAAACATTTTTTTATTCTTTGGTTTCATCTTGATAATTTTCTACGCTTAAAAAAGTTATTAAAAAGTACGGTTTTTAGAAGCTAATATTTTATATATATTTGATAAACTAAATTTAATAAAGAGCACCAAAGAAATTTTTCTTTTTCTTTTAGATATTTCTATACATTCCCACTGACTACTGCTGTCTTTCTTTCACTCGTGCATCTCATATTAGCGTCTTGCAGGACGATCAGCCAGCAAGCGTGCCTTTTAAATAAAATACAAAATCTTTTACAAAAAATTATTTCATCATGCACAGCTTAAAAGATCAGTATAAGCTTCCGATAGTGATAAAATTATTCCTTTAAATCTTTGTATAATAATTCCAAACGAGTTTATCAAAATTTGGATTTTTTAAGTAAAAAAGTCTCGCCTATATACGGCGTTAAATAAAAATTTTATAAAAAGCCCCTCCAAGGATAAATCCTGTGTACCGTCCCGGTATTATTTGTTCTTCTAACGTTTCGGAATAACACTTAAATTTGAAAACTAATTGTGGTATAAAATGATTTCTTGTTACTTTTTTCATTTAAATATATCATATTTTACAGTTTTCAGTAATTCAGAACCAATTTATTTTCTATTATTTTCGTTTTCTAGAATTAGTTGTGGGAATACAAATAATTGTTTCGTTGCAGAAGGTCCTTTCCAGTCGGACGCGTTGCTGGTTCCTGAAAACTGTCTTTTCGACCACATTCACAACCAGAGTAATTGTTGGACTTTCAGCCGTTGGAATACAACAGCTGCGAATGCCTGTCAAGAGCGTGGTTTTCAGCTGAGATCGTTTGCTATGTTACTTCCTTGTGGCATCTCCCTCTTCAGTGGCGTTGAATTTGTTTGCTGTCCAAAACATTTGAAAGGTACCGTTGTTTAAATTGAGGGATGATACACCATATACATTAGGGTGAACCGAAAATCCGCTTTTTTCTATTTCTTTAATTAATATCAGAAATATTGTTCATCATACTAAAAGAAGAAACTGTGCCAAGGGAAAAAATTTGAATCGAAATCTTAGACTCCTCTCAAATTGAGCCATAGTTCAAAGCGTTTAAATTTTTTTTTTTTCTGAACTCAATTTGATCGAGAATTCAGTTCTATACCAAAAAAAGTCCTTATAGCAAATTATGTACGATTACTAATTTCTAAGATAATTGCACTTTTAGTGAAAAATTTGACAGTCTTCTTAATTTCCATTCTTTTTATGGATAAAAAATAATCGGTAAATCATTCATTATTACAGAAATTATCTGATATAAGATATCGACTCAAATTTTTTTCTCTTGGTACAGTTCTTCTTTTAGTATAATAAACAATATTTCTGATATTAATTAAATAAATTAAAAAAAAAGCGTATTTTCGGCCTACCCTAATAAACATACATGCTGGACCCATTTCGAACCTATGTATATGCACATTTGTAGATATATTCTTATATACCCCACAGAATGGTAATTAAAAAATGATATTTCGTTACTTTTCTTGTATATTTAGGAACGTAGTCAGCTTTATTTTTGGCAGGGCGAAGGTTGGGCCCACCGCTTTAAATTCCATATAACTAAAAACACCTCGAGTTCCTTATCTAGATTACCTAAGTAATTTAACAATCATGTTCATTAAGAATAAATCTCAATAGCTTTCGATTTTGACAAAGTAATAGATATCTATACATAATTCAATAAAAATGCTGCAAATTTACAGTAAGCAGTGAAGTTGCATACTTGCAGTTTCAAATTTTACGTTATATTGAAATTATTTAGTGTGGAGCCGCACATGGGCCAGAATTTTCAATCATTACCCTTGGCCAGCCGGACGAACCCGTATTAGCTCCGTGCTTCTATGCATTTGTTGCTGTCATTTAATGAGCATGAATTAGTGTTTTATATTTAATCTGTTAATTATTACATGTTAAATATACCGAGAAAAAACCGACAAACAGCTGTTTTTTTGCGGTTTACAGGTTTACACTACTATGTAGGTATATGTTATTCTAAAAAATTACAAGCTTGTCCCAGTTAAATTAAAGATAATTAAATTGAGGGTGTTCGGTAGGTTTGTGTTAAATTAACTAGCCAGTTCTGGTTTATTTTAATTTCATTTGATTTTTTTTTTGTTTTCCTGAATAATGTAAGGAGGTAAAATGGTATAAGCTTTCCTGATTGTTAACCTGATTTGTTTGTCAATTTGTTTGAGTTTACTTATAGTAAAACTTATCTCTAATTTAATGATCTTTAATTTCAAGCTTGTTTTGTTGGTCACAGCTCGCCAGTTTGGTTCTTCTGCTCAAAAGTGATGTCTTTTTGGTGTTTACTATTCATCACTATTGAACAGAAAAATATTTTTACTCAACTGTAAACGTTTTGGAGTATTCCCCGAATATCTGACTTGTTTAGACAATCTGCTGTCCATCTACACCAATGACACCAATCCATCCACCAAACTGGCGAGCTGTGACCAACAAAACAAGCTTGAAATTAAAGATCATTAAATTAGAGATAAGCTTTACTATAAGTAAACTCAAACAAATTAGGTTAACAATCCGGAAAGCTTATACCATTTCACCTCGTATTATTTATGAATTTTCTCGTAGACAATAGATAAGCTTCAGAAACATCCACCTTCAAATTAAAAAGATCTAATATAAATAAACTCAAAAGACTGCAACTAAAAAAATCAAATAAAATTAAAATAAACCAGAACTGGCTGGTCAATTTATCACAAACTCATCAACACCTACCGACATCCCCAATCTAATTAACTTTAATTTAACTAGTACGGTAGTTACAGAGGTCAATTTTCTTTATTGATTTCCCGTTAGTTTATATTTAACGTTTGTAAAGAATTATCAGGTTATATTGAAAATTCACAATAGAATTCAGCCGTTTATAACATTTTGAGCAGATTTTGTTAATTTCACTTGGATGAATACAGGCCACGTATAAAATTGCACGCCATTCATTTTTTAATTGTGCATTCGCTCACAAAACAGCGGTAAAATTTGTGATAGGGCAAATCCGCTCAAACATTTCAAATTAATCTCGAGGCAGCAGTACAAAAAAAAGCAAACGTTTCATGTAGGAATGTTTGCAAATCGAAATGAAAGTAACCGGAAAATTTTACTTTTACAATTCAAAGGACGGATTAGTTGGCTCTGAAGTCTGAAATAGCATTTAATATTATATACCATGCACATAATGAGGACGTAATAAGAATTCTTCAAAAATCTCGCTCGCTCTTTAATAAAAAAATTTAACTGTATCTGAATAACTTTATTACGAGCAGTTAAATGTAAGTAGGTAAAGAGGGAAATAATAAAATTTCCGGCTTTTCCGCATCGTTCCGCTTCTACTCTTTTCTCCATCTTCTGTGACCTTCGGAATTATTTAGTTTCCTAGTTTAAGTTAAATTTGTTTTTCCTGCAGAGAACCTCAAACCCAAGAAGCCAATCGATTTGACAGCATTGAAAAGTGACCAACAAGATATTTTGGATTCTGATGAAGACTCGTATGAAGATGAAGATGAAGATGAAGACAAAGATGATTTAGACGATTTAGGTGATGATACCGAGCTTTCTGAAGATCCCAATTTGGAGGAAGATGATGATGATGATTACGATGATTCAGATTCTGATTGGGATACTACTCCGTCCAGTACTACTTATATTCCCAAGTCCACTGAAGCATCAAGTACAATTTCAACTCCAACTAAAAATACGCCATTACCTACGCCTGATCCTTACTTTACCCACTTTGATCCCAGGAATGAACATCAAAGCTACAAAGAAGCACAAGTATTGTATATTGTATTACAAAGACGAACCAAATAATCGATTATTGACTTTTTTTACAGGAACGCTTAGAAGAAGCCCATCGTGAAAAAGTAACTAAAGTAATGAAGGATTGGTCTGATTTGGAAGAAAAATATCAGGAAATGAAAAATAACGACCCCAGAGGCGCTGAAGCTTTCAAGTTAAGAATGACCAAGAGATTCCAGCAAACGGTGCAAGCTCTTGAAGAAGAGGAAGACGCCGAAAAACATCAATTAGCTGCAATGCATCAGCAAAGAGTACTTGCACATATCAATCAAAGGAAAAAAGAAGCAATGACATGTTACACCCAAGCGTTAAACGATCAACCACCAAATGTAAGTCTTTTCTATTTGCATCCACTAAGATTACATTTTAACGCATGTTTTTATAGACGCACAGGGTGCAGAAGTGTTTACAAAAACTCCTTAGAGCTCTTCATAAAGACAGAGCTCACGCCATTACCCATTATCGCCATCTCCTCCAAAGTAGTTTAGATGCTGCGGCCCGAGAACAGCCTCGAACACTCGAACGTTTAACTGATATCGATAGGACCGTTAATCAAAGTATGCAAATGTTGAAAAGATTCCCCGATCTCTCTACAAAAATTGGTCAATTGATGGATGATTATCTGCAAGCTCTTAGATCCAAAGACGAGACTCCTGGATCTCTTCTTGCCATGACTACGGACGCTGAAGCTGCTATTTTGGATAAATATAAATCCGAAGTTGTTAACAAACAAGCCGAAAGAGAGCGGCAAAGGATACAAGAAAAGGCTAGGAAAGAGCAAAGGAAAAAGGAAAGGATGGAACTTCGCGAGGAGAAGAAACGGGTGGAGGCAGCTTTGGGCAAAAAAATTACCAATTTTGACGCAGAAAATATGGAAGATGAATCTATTTCCGATGACAAGGTAATTCATTGAATCAATTTTACTTAAAGTCAAAGCAAAAGATAATTTGTTAATACATTTTAGACAACCTTTATGCCAACATCAAGCAGCAGCGCAACATCTGAAATGGTCAGTAACTCCATTACTACAATAGACCACCGCAAAGAGGTCGACGATGCCGCCGTTCAACAAGCTGTAGAAGAAGTGGCAGCTGTGGCACACCAACAAGACGTGATTAGAGTTGCACATGCAATGTCTCATGATCTAAGTCATGGAGAAGCAGTAAGTTAAAATTTTTTCTGGTTCAAACCAAGTTTTCACGCCTAAAAATTTTATACAGTAAAAGCTCTTTATTCGCGGGGTACACGTTCCATAAATATGCCTCGAATACAGAAACCGTGGATATGGAATGATCATTAGTATGGAATCATAGGGGATACGTTCTAAGATTCTAAAATAAAACCAATCAGAATAAAATCAATTTATTGAAAAGTTCGCAATTAAAATTAATCGTTATAATCACCTTTAGACAAAGGTTTAAAAAATTTAGTGATTTTTTCTTGTTTTGAATTTTGAATTAGTCCACTCGGTTACATCTTTTATAAAAGTCGCCTCGGCACGAGGCAACAGTACTTAAAAGATGTCGATACGTTGAAAAATAAAACCGAATCCTTTTCTGTTTACTCTGTTATATCTTTTATAAAATCTGCCTTGGCATGTAAGTAAAAACATGCTCATCGGTTCTAGATATCATGAGTTTAATATTTGGAACAGAGGTTTGAAATTGTGTAGTAAGATAGATAAAGCTTTGTTCTAAATCCTGTCGAAGGCCATTTTTTAATTTTTTTTAATTTCTATTGAAAATGTGTCCTACAAGAAGCATCAACTTTAAACACTTGTAAAAGCTTTTAATGACCGTATTATTGAAAACCACAAACGTAATGAGTTAGTGTGAACCTTTGTCTGTTACTATACAAAAAAGCACATATTTATCTCGTAGCGTTAAATCACAATGTTGAGAAGAGAAACCCATGTTTCCGGAAAAATTCACACTAGGCACGAGCGGTTTATTCCCGTTAATCCTCTTAATAAATGACACCGAATCCTTTTCCAAGTGCATCCGCGAATAAATAAATTTTAGCTGCGAATACAGGAACTGGATTGCAATTTTTTCACCCGCGAATAAGGAAACTGTGAATAAGGAACTTTTACTGTATGTCTTACAAAATCTAAACGTGAAACGTATACATACTTCGTTGAATTTATGATCTGCGAAAGTGTGTATATTTTAGAGTTATTCAATGCATCGGGAAGTTTATAATCAAAAGGATGGCAAAGGGGTTTACTTCACCCTTGCATTTGCTGGAATGGCATTGATGGCAGCTATAGTGGTGGGAGTTGCGGTTGCAAGACGTCGATCTGCACGTTCTCCTCAAGGGCAAGGATTTATAGAAGTCGATCAAGCTGCAACGCCCGAAGAAAGACATGTAGCCAATATGCAGATAAACGGTTACGAAAACCCTACTTACAAATATTTCGAAGTTAAAGAATAATTTACACAAACATCACCTTATAAATTGAAAAAAAAAAAACTAACCTTATTGATATCTATAAAATGCTTGGCAGCGTTTATTTATCCAAATCGGCTTGGTTTTTAAATACAGTCCGTTACGGTAATTAGTTGTCATTTTCTCGAATTGTGTTCTAGACGTATTTACATCGTGTATGTATGTAGTTAAAAAAGAAATGCTACCTTTCGTTGAGAGCTTTAGTTATATGTTGATGATTTTGTGTTATAACGTTACGTTATTGTTTTCTATTTGTAAGAAATTGTAAATCATTCCAATAACTGCAGGTATTTAATAATTTATTTTTTGTACTTAAAGGCTATATAAGTCTCGATAATAAACTGTAGCGTAATTTGTGATGCAGGTGCAGCTTAATTTTTAAAGATTTAATTTTTTAAATATACAATAAAAGAAGCTACTGAAACAAGAGTCCATATTGTGTAAATGTAACCGTACCGTACCACTGATGTAACGGATATTGTAATGATAATCGAATTAATGTAGCTATTCGCTGTTAAAAAGAGTTAATAAACTTAACTACCTAACTATCAATCACCATTATAAGTAAATAATATACTTATTGACATTACCATTGCAATATCTTCTGTAGCTAGGTGTACGATATAATAATTAGGTCCTCTAGATTTAATATGCATGTTGTGAAATTTAAACAGAGCTTTTTGTACAAAGACATTACATACGTTTCTATTTCGCTTAAGTCCACAGCCTTAAATAGATTCAGTTGTACACATACATAAGTGGGTGTGATTTGCACAAAGTTTTTCCATAATTTCGAACGGATTTTCGAAAAACCGATTATCAATTTTTATTACTTCAACATTTCAAACACTATAAATCAGTCATGGAATTAAACACACGATATTAGCTTATTCATTCTCTTTTATTTTCTCTTTTTTTTTTAGATTTAGCAATAAGACCTATTCGAAAAGCTGAATTGTTACCTTTGTTACAATTTAAATTTAAAATCACAGATTGCAAAGCATAAAGAACGCTGCTATTTTGACCTTACTAAAAGGGACATTTATTTTGATTGTAAGAGGTAATAGCCCCAATGAAATGTTGATGAACGACAAGCGCGATTAGAAGTTAAGTAATTACAGATCAATCACAATCAGATTAATTAAGCGAAACGGGATCCAGGTCTAAAATTTAAAGAAAGACTCCTCCAAGGATATTATTATTTTAAGATAACTTAAAAAAAGTATTATATTAAATAAGTTGTCAGTTTAGTGTTTAATTTTTAATATTAATTTAATTAGTGATACCGTTTTTAATTTTCAGTATTATTTCAATCTTTCTAAATTAAATAAAAATTAGGCCACTTAATCTATCAAGCCCGGAGCTGTGACTCTTCTATGCGCTCACCCACTAAGAGCTGGTTTAGGATGCGCACCTTAATTTATAGTAAAACATAAAAATTTCGTATTTTAAATTTTTGCAACAGTAATTTCGCAAATGATTTGTATAAGTACCCTTATTTGTATAAAATCTTAAATATGTTTAAGTATAAGCACTTATATACATAAAAACTAAAACAGAAAAATTCTTAACATATTTGTATTAATTTAAAACAATAACAGGCTATTACCTCCGCATTGCTACAGAAAATAAGTATGTACATCACCTTTGATTCTGTGGGTTAATATTAGCAATAAAATTAAAATACTAAATTTTATTTCTGGTAATATTCGGTGGGCACTGTTATATATATTGTTTTTATTTGTTTTAAGGTATACTACAGCATCTAATTAGGCCGTTATTGCATTACAGTGAATATTAATCTATTTACGTAAACGAAAGTGATTTCTACCTACAGAAAAATTTTTCGCTTTCCTTCGAATATGAAAAAATTCATCACGTCATCTCGTCTTTCATTCACACAAAAAGTATTTGAATAATTCTACAATATTGTTACAGTGTTTTTATCGTTCTTCTTACAGTTATTTAGATAAGCAACTAGCATAGTATATGTTTTGTGGCCATGTAATTTTAAATTTAATGTAATAAATTAATTATTTTACTTTGTTTTATTCAATTGCTGTTATAGAAATTATTCCATTCAAAAATACGTTGTTGTTGGAAAAATAACAAACTAAAACTAATGTTGTTTCGAGAAATACTCCTTACAACTTCATAATTCTTTTTATTAGGATGCCCGTTAAAATATTACTAAATAAGTATGATGTATTACTTTTGGAAACAGAAGATGGCAATTCATATTAACAAGTTAAAATTAAGAGCAGTATCTTCGAACTATTTTACTTTTATGATCTTTATCACTATCCAAGACACTATTACAAATTTATTATTACTTTAGGGGCCAACCCCTAAATCACTGCCACACAGACTAACTGCGCCACCTATTGAAGATGTTAATAACCAAGAAATTGTTTACTGTATCAATGGTATTCGCGGCCTTCAAGCCCCATTCAACTAGCATTCAACAACAATATTCTATGGGAGAGTCAGTCATAAGTACATATTTTTCTTTCCATATCTGTAAAGTGAAATTTTAAAATGATTGTTACTTAACTGTTGTTTCCTAATTAATGGTCATAAACTGTAAATTCAAATAATTAAATAGTTGTGTAAATTGAATTTAAGTTGGTGAATTTTTGAGTGTTTATTTTCTTTAATTAAATTTCATTTGTAAAGTAGACAAGGTAGGTAGATTTGGAAATGTCACCAATTTTCTATTTTCATTATAAATTTCATAACTGGCTGAAAATGTTTGGAATAACAATTTATACAAATAATTAACGTATACAAACGTTAACTTTTTAAAGGAATTTTAATGTATTTAGCTCGTGGAGTCGTGCAATTTTATATTATAACCTCAATTTGGGTGTCGGCCAAAATGCGCAGTATCTACTTCAAAATAAATACCAAATTTTATGAAAATTACTTGTGCAAATACCTTTTCCTACATATTTTTCTGTTATTAATGATCACGCTTGTTTTCAATCTCCTTGCGTCATTATTTACAATGATTACAATGTTAGATTACTTTGTTTTGAAACGAATGTTTTGAATATGAAATTCATACGTTTCAAAAATATTTTACTTGTTGAACTTCTATCACTTCAGAAAATAATTATCGTACCTAATATATTTAAGTTGTGCAGTAAATGCTATACTAAATAAATACCTTTATTATTTATTTAATAAACAAATCTTGGCTTACATCTCATCTTGCTTTTATGATATATATCATTAATATAATAATTATAAGAGCTTTTTTTATTTTCACTTTAGTTAAAACCATGAATGAGTCCATAAACATGTCCGATGGGCATGTCGGATTGTCAGTGCAGTCATTTACCAATGTCACTGTAGTTAAAGAAGGCTGGCTTTATAAAAGAGGGGAGCGTATTAAGAACTGGAGACCAAGGTTTTAATTCTTCATATATTAAGAATAAAGTCTGTATCTATATATTTGTAGATACTTTGTTTTGTTGGATAATGGCTCCTTAATAGGTTTTAAAAACAAGCCTGATATAAACTCATTGGGAGATCCTCTTAATAATTTTACAGTAAAAGGTTGTCAAATTATGTCAACAGACAAACCCAAACCGTTTACGTTTATTTTAAGAGGCTTACAGTGGACCACTGTTATTGAAAGAATGTTCCATGTCGACTCTGATAAAGAAAGGTGAAGCATCTTCTTAGCAAAACTTAACTGTTTGTCTCTTTATGCTTCTTATTTTCATATAGAGAAGAATGGATGGCAGCTATTAAAATGGTTTCAGACAGATTATCCTCAGAATGTGAGGATGTAGATATGACTAGTTTGAATCCTTTGGAAATGGAAGGAAGCTCAACTGTTGAAGACTTATGTGAGAAATTTTCTCGACAGGGAACTTCAAGTTCAAAATCTAGCGGCAAAAGAAAAGTTACATTGGAAAATTTTGAATTCTTGAAGGTTTTGGGAAAGGGCACATTTGGTAAAGTTATTTTATGTAGGGAGAAGGCCACTGGCCGATTATATGCCATGAAGATATTAAAAAAAGAAGTAATTACTCAAAAAGACGAAGTTGCTCATACTCTAACCGAAAGTCGCGTTTTGAGGTCTACGCGGCATCCATTTCTGATAGTAAGATTTCATGAGTTTAGTATGGTAGCAAATTATATGTAGTTTTAAAATGTAATTTTATGGATATTTATATTTAAAATATTTAACACTAACCATGTATTTCTTACACTTAAATAAGATTAAATTGTCTTCTTATTTTAGTCATTGAAATACTCATTCCAAACAAATGATCGCTTATGCTTCGTAATGGAATATGTCAATGGAGGCGAGCTGTTTTTCCATCTTTCCAGAGAACGTGTATTTTCTGAAGACCGCACTAGATTTTATGGAGCCGAAATTATATCGGCACTGGCCTATTTGCATTCCCAAGGAATTATTTACAGAGATCTTAAATTGGAAAATCTTCTGCTAGATAAGGATGGACACATAAAAATTGCAGATTTCGGTCTTTGTAAAGAGGATATTACATACGGTACCACAACGAAAACATTTTGTGGAACACCCGAATATTTAGCACCCGAAGTTTTAGAAGACAATGATTATGGCAGAGCAGTGGACTGGTGGGGCATTGGAGTCGTCATGTACGAAATGGTAAATTTAAATTATTACATCGATAAAGAATTGTAACATTAGTTAAGGATCTGTTAATGTTTTATAGATGATTAATTAGTCGATACTTGTAATAATTATTCATTTGAGGTAGAATGAATATTGCTAAGTATTTATAAAAATTTCAGATGTGCGGTAGGCTGCCATTTTATAACCGTGATCATGATGTTCTCTTTACTCTGATAATAATGGAAGATGTCAAGTTTCCTAAAACCTTAAGTGGCGAAGCCAAAGACCTGTTGTCAGGTCTTTTAATAAAAGATCCAACAAGGCGTTTAGGAGGTGGTCCAGACGACGCTAGAGAAATAATGGCTCATCCCTTCTTCAGTTGTATCAATTGGAAAGATTTGGAGCAAAAGAAGGTGTGTAATTTGAAATATACAGATGATAATGCTTATGACTTTATGTTAACCATTTCTTGTGTTACAGATCCCACCTCCATTTAAACCTCAGGTGACGAACGACACAGATACTAGGTACTTCGACACTGAATTTACTGGCGAAAGCGTCGAGCTAACACCTCCAGATCATGGACCACTTGGAGCTATTCAGGAAGAGCCCTATTTTCCACAATTTAGTTATCAAGATCTGTCTTCTACTCTAGGTAGTTCAGCCCATATCAGCGGCAGCATCAGTAGCGTTGCGACAATGCAGTGACTTAAACTTATCTTTTGAAGTTAAGGTAATTATATGTTTTAGATCATTATCATTAGCTTTTGATAGCACTTACGCATTTCTCGAAGGAGTAAAGTACGAACCAATTCTCTTGCTTTATTTTCGAGATAAAAAGTTTATATAATTTCTTTTATTTTTTTTTTTTTTTGTTTTCCTGAATAATGTAAGGAGGTAAAATGGTATAAGCTTTCCTGATTGTTAACCTGATTTGTTTGTCAATTTGTTTGAGTTTACTTATAGTAAAACTTATCTCTAATTTAATGATCTTTAATTTCAAGCTNTACTCTAGGTAGTTCAGCCCATATCAGCGGCAGCATCAGTAGCGTTGCGACAATGCAGTGACTTAAACTTATCTTTTGAAGTTAAGGTAATTATATGTTTTAGATCATTATCATTAGCTTTTGATAGCACTTACGCATTTCTCGAAGGAGTAAAGTACGAACCAATTCTCTTGCTTTATTTTCGAGATAAAAATTTTATATATTTATTTATACAAATACATAAACACGTTATGTACTTCTAACTGACAATTCCATATTCATAGATTATTTTAAAAAATTAGAGAAATGCGATGTTAGGACACCTGAGACATAAAGGATTACCTAGACATACTATAAGCACAAACAGGAGTAAAGTGGGGCAGAAGAAGACGTATATCAGATTACTGTTCGCAAGTAATAAATAAGAATGTGGGATGTTCATCTATTAAAAAAAAAACGAAGATGTAAGATCGATCTTTAAATATGAAAACCGGCCTAAAGCTACAAAATAATTTGTATATTTCTAAATTTCTTAATTGCCTTATTTTCTTACCAAGTAGGAAGATGTATGATTTTTGTTTAATTTAACTCCTGCGAAAAATCCGTAAATCCTATCGAAAAGAGAAATGTCATTCTTTATAAAAAATTAATTTTTTATTCTAGCAGTGAATGTACTTAGACGTGATGTGGTGAATGGTGATCCTAGAATGGTTGGTTAGAGAGGAAAACGTGCAGATTGCCGAAATACGAATTGTGATATTTTACACGTACTGTATTTTTTTGGTTATTTTGTAGGTGTTGCCATTTATATTATTATTGTCAAAACTTGTAGTGTTATAAGTTGTATTTATAACTGCATAACTGTTTCTTGTTCCCTTCGCTGGCAGGTTTAGCAAGATATTGTTATAATTTAAAAAAAAATAATCTTTTGGCATGATTATTATTCATTATTATTAATCGGTACAATACGTTCTTTGCTAGAAAATTTAATACTGTTTTGTACATATAACAGCAATAAGTGCAAGATTCTTAATTCAATTTGATATTGTGTACAAAAACGCATATTTATATGCTCCAACTAAGAAATAAACTAAATTGAGTTAGAAGATATTTCTTCGTTTTATTTCATATTTTATCCGATAAAATAAAAAATATCGAACTTTTAGTAAAATGCGATTTGGTTTATTTTTATGGATAAAAGGTACCCTGCGCCCTTTTCTGTAGCCCCTAACAATATGTGTACAAAATTTCATGATGATCGGTTGAGTAGTTAAGACCTAAAATGGCAACAAACAAGGTCACATTCGCATTTATAATATTGGTTAAGATTCTGTTTTAAAATCATTTTATTTTGAAATTGCGCACAAATTCGACACCCTATTTAGTGTTGTTACCTAAATAGCATTAGTACATAAAGGGTATGTAAGGGAGGATGTGTCTGGAAAAACTATTCTGAATTATATATGTGGGGAAGGGAATTGGTACCTGAGCAACTGGTTTATTATTGTTAAAAAAAGGAAATTCTTGGTGGATCGATGTAGAAGATGCATAAATCCTGCACAATATTTATCAGCTGAATTTCCTTTTTTTGAGTATTTTAGAGTGTTATACTAAGAACAAGCTAAATACTTGCTGAAAGTTGCCCCACATTTTAAAAGGAGTAACTTAAAATATTATTTATTTAAAGAACAACTCTAGAGCTTTGAATGGGCATATACCTCTTGAGAAATTTATAACACGAAATAATTTAGACGGAACAATAAGGGAAACAAAAATTTTAGAAAAGCCAACGTCAGACATCATCAGTTGAAAGATACAATGCAAATTTAAAAAGAATCAAGATATTTCTCCAAAGCTCTTTGTCTCATGATTTTTTGACAGATTTCAATTAAAATGTTATATTATTTGTATCAAAACTTAAAAGCTCAAACGAGACGAATTGTAGACAAGTAGGGTGGAATTTAATTTCATCACGATGCGCCACTAAGCAATTATTAAACCATTTTACTCACCATCAGCCCAAACGGTTCTATTGAATTGCTTTTTAACAATAATTTCTGTTATATATCGGTCAGTGTAATTTGCATTCTTAAGTCAAGGATACAATATTTCTCATTTTTTCGCTTTTTAGTTCCCCTTTTTTATTTTGACAAAATCCTTTTTACCGTTTTTCCAAAATTTTCGTTAACTAACCTTTCCAGCTTTTTTATTAAATTAATATAAAAGTTTATTAAACGTTCTACATATGCAGAGGTATAATTTTCAAGTTGAAACGTTTTTTGACGCTCTTTGATGCGTTCTCAAAATGAACGACCAGTTTGACCTACAGAATTACAATTATCACAGTTTAATCTGTAGATTCCAGATTTAAGTCTATTACCTAATTTATCTTTATCATTTATAATTATTAAACATAACGAATTGTATTTGTTTTGAACGAAATACAACTAGTAGTTAAATATTTACTAATTTTTAATGTAATTACTAATTTATTGAAAGTAATGTTTTATTTTCTCTACTCTCCATTTATTGAGTAAAAGGGATGAATTCCTATTAAGATAATCTTTTCGTTATGCTTAAACAATCTTACTAGTAAAACTTGTATTCAGAAACAAAGTAAATTTTTAATCTTCTAGCCGAATTAATTGAACTTTAATTTACTGTCCGTTACGTTACAATTGCTAATCTACACGAGATTACATTGCATATACTGGTACAACTGAAAATGAAAAATAAAACTAATTTTCAAAAAGCATAATTTATCGGAAATGATTGATTATTAAAAAAATATCGGCACAAGATCGATCGACAGGCAGAGGTATTTATGGGAAACCCTATTTTCGACTTCACGAGGTCAGGGAATCACGAGAATTTTTAGACGAATATAATACCTTCTGTTGCTCGTCCCCTTACAAGGGTCGCTCACCAATTAGGATTGGAAAAGCAACAAATAATTCGACTCGAATTACTACCTGTATTCGATTACTGGTATTTGCATAAAATTGCCCTTTTAAGTATAAATTGCTTGGAATAAAGTATCGGTTTAGGTCAATTAAAACATTATTCGATCATTATGTTTTGTAGTATGTCGAACCGATTCTACGAAAGTTATTGATTAGCAAGTGGCTCAAGTTGGTGACTGGCGTTACTAAACGGTGGCGCTATGGTCACGACGGCGCATTGTATACACAAGCGTCCCGACGACATGCGTATGTACGGTTTTTACCGTAAAATCCTTAGTAGTATTAGAAACTTAGAGTTGGGCTATTACCACTTTCATCATCCCGTTTTATGTTTTCTGGCAAAGTGATGTTAAAATGCCACCGTCGCATCAATACGTTCTTCGTTTCGGCCGCCCTAACCGTGCGTCTTCAGGATTTTAAGGGTAATACTATTATAATTTAAAATTTTCTTGTTGCACGTTTCAATTTTTTAAATGAACTCGTGACCTTTCCTGTTACATGGTAGAGGGTGACGTTTTGCAAGTATAATTATTTGAATCAACAAAAAGTAATAAATTAACAATTACTTTCGATTCGATATAAGGTCAAATGTACATTTCTTGGAACTGAATTTATTATGTTGTAAACCACATTTTCAGGATAACATAACTTTTCATCACCAATAGATATTGATAGCGGTAGTCGATAAAATCGTTTACATTCAAGGTAAATTGAGTAAATGTTTGAAGGAAATTGAGTACTACCACAAGTTAGTTTCAACAACAAGCAAAACGTTTCTCGAATAAGCGTCAAGTAATTTCATAAACTGATGTAAATTCAATTAATAAATTCTGCTAAATACATAATATTTCTAAAATTTTCATAATTAAATGAAATGAATTTGTTTAATCTACGGTAGAACTCATTGTCATAGAAGCTACATTGAGGTCAGTTAAGATACAGGGTGTGTCCTTATTAATACCTATTTAATCTCGTTTCGTTTAAAGTAGGTGTAGCTGCTAACAAAACTTAGAAGGGTGAACTAGGTAGTTATTACTTAATAAAACATGTTAAACAATAATATTAAATTGTTGTAAAATCTACAATAAACTATTTATCTACCCCGTCGATTAATTATAGATAAAAGCTCACTATGGAGATATGTGACCCTTGCATTTTTGATTTAATAGATTAATGTTTTTTTTTACATATTGTACCCCTACAATTGAAATAAAAGGGCGAGTTTGCTTTGGGGATATCATTGTGAATGTTAATAGTGAAATCCAAAACTTCAATTTTTTTATATATTTCATGTTTCTTTAATCTTTTTAATCCAAGTGATCATTTTAAAAAAATATATAATGGTTACATGCCTAATACATGTAGCTACAACCGGTATACATTTTAATACAAAGGTGTAATTTTTTCAAGTAAATTTAACCAAAATCTCTGATGGAACTTTTTATGAGCCAATAAGTGTTATCCCTTTTTGTGGGGAATCATTTGATAATGTTTTGTGAACTATTTATGGCTAAATGTGCTTCTAAAAAAACAGATCCGTTTTCAGGAATAAATTACTAAGAAACATCCTAATATGTACGTCTGCACGTGTGAAAGTAACATTCATGCTTTTTTTCCTAAAGGAACCTGTCACAAGAGTAATTCATCTAGAAAATCTTTACTTGCGGCAGAGGGTGGTAAAGTGTTCAAATTAGAGGGATACGATCATTAACCCGTAAAAAAAAAAGGGAGGAGAAGCACGAGATGCAAGTACATATTACTAACGCCATGACGTGTGTGTGACCCATTTACATAAGTAATATTGATAAGGAAATACCTTTAACTTAATCTAGCGAGCGACGCGACGCGACGCGACGCAGCGTGTAAATTCCTAACGAAATAAATTTATTTAGATTTTATAATAAACAATTAATGAAGTAGGAATTTGTTGAATTATATCTAGAACAGAATAATTCTCAACGAATAGTATGTTCTGGCTAGAACATCTAGTACTTCAACCAACAAAAAAATTATCTGTAAGATATAAACATGTACCAACGCAAATGTTACGAAACTGTTGTAATTCTCTTTTCAACTGAAAGCAATTATTTTTTGTTAATGGATATAGTCGTACAGTGTCCATAAAACAGCTACATTTATTAATATCATCTTTTAGTTTGTAGAATTGCTGTAAAAGCCATCAATTTAGCGTATTATGGAACAATGGGGTTTTGTAAAATTTTGTAAAAAAAATTATGCGCCTTAGAATAGCAATTAAAATAGGGAATGGTAAGACATTCTGGAATTATGGTAAAACGTCAAATAAAGGAATGAAACTAACTGTACGGGCTTCTTTCGATATTCAGGATGTTATTACTAGTTTTAATTGAAAATCGCCAAGCTTGACGTACTTTTTCCAGTTGAAACTAAACAATTGCAAAAAAGTGGACGGGTTTAAATGTCTGTACTCTAACCTTCAGTTGTTTTATTTTTGATTTCCTTAAATGGTACATATGTGCCTGTCTTCTAGACGACCTAAACTTGTTGCATTTTATAATTTCTTTAATTAATGATAAATACCTACCTTTTTCTTTAAACGGTACAATGACAGTGTTAAACGTAAACAGTTCTTACGAAAGTAGGACGAGCGGCAACCTAATGTGCATCTTAATTGGTATAATTAGGTGTTACATGCAAATGGTTATTAGGGCATCAAGCGCATAGACGTACCGATGCTTTGAAACAACATAACCGTTCTACAGGAAATCGGAACAACATTCGAGAATACACCACAATACTTTTTAGATAAAATCGGTTAAAAATCTACTGTTCTTAAATAAACTCAGGGAGCAATGGTTTCTGATAAACAATACCAAAAAACCGCGGTCGTGGTATTTAAATGAACCCCTCCCATTTCAGTTGGGTCACTTTAGAATTTTTCAGAAATTAGCATTAAGAGAACAAAAAAGGGGGGTACTCATCATCATCATAAGGTCGTCAGTCCTAAGACTGGTTGGACACGTACCTCCACTCTTTCCTATCCTGAGCTAAATTTCGCATTTCCCTAAAACTAGAACAACCCACATCCTTAACTGTTTGCGAACAGTAATCTAATCTAGGTCTACCTCTACCCCTCCTAACTCCTGTTTCTGCCTCTAATATGTCTCTGACTAGACCTTCATCCCTAAGAAGGTGTCTTACCAACCTATCTCGCCTATTTTTTATTGACATCCATAGAGTCCTCTGTTCTCCTATTCTTTCCAATACCTCTTCATTTCTAACCTTTTCTACCCACGATATCCTCATCATCCGCGTATAACACCACATTTCGAACGCTTCTAACCTTTTCTTTTCCGCCGCGCCCACTGTCCATGTTTCGCACCCGTACAATGCTGTGCTCCAAACATACACCTTTAACAACCTTTTTCGAATTTCTCTATTAACCGTTCGCGAGCATAGAAGTGACTTCTTTTTATTAAAGGCGACACGACCCTGCGCTATCTTCTGCTTTATGTCCCTACTACTCCTTCCATCCTGACTTATCTGACTTCCTAGGTTTCTAAAATCAGCCACTTCTTCTAATTTTTCGTCTCATATCTTTATATTCGCCCTTTCCCTACTTTTTCTTCCTTTGCATATCAGTATTTTAGTTTTACTTTTATTTATTTTCATACTGTACTGATCTGTCAGTACCGCTTCCATTTTATTTAAAGCTATCTCTAGGTCCTCCTTGCTAGATGCTAATACTGCTATATCATCTGCAAATCTAAGCATACTAATCTTTTGCCCTTACACATCTATCCCTACAGTTGTACTAAACTAATTTTATTTATTTAACATTTTTAGCACTTCTTCAATTCATTAAGTGAATTTCCCAATTTTTCGAACGAAATGTCTGTGCGTCGGCCACAGTCAATTTGCTCCGATTGTACTAGACTAATTAAGTTGAAAATTAATAAACATTTGAATGTCTATGAGCCAAACACGGACGCATAACGTAAATAAATTAATTTTGAACATGAGGGTCATTTTTAGGGGACCAATAAGAAATTAAAAAAAAGGTTTTTCAAACTGTACCGTACCGTGTGACATATTAAATAAATGAGCTTGTTGTAAGGGTTTCAAATATATTCATATAAATTGTTTTAAAGTTATTTAAGAAAACAAATGAAAATTGGCCATTCCCCCCATCCTTATCTCCGAAACTACCGAACCTTAAATTTTGAAAAAAATAGAGAAAATAGCTCTTTACTTATATATTACAGGAAAATTAATAAAAAGTCTATGGTCTGAATATAACGTGGTAAATCTTTCAACAAAACAATATTGTGCGTAAAAATGTACATTTGCAATTTGAATGTACGGGAGAACATGTTTTTTTTAATTACAATTTTAATTTGGGTTTCGGGTTAGGGTTCCATACGTCCAAATGAAAATCGGAACCCTTATAGGTTCACTCGTGTGTCTGTCTGTCCGTTTTTGACCTTTAAATGCTTCTTCTAAAATATCAAAATTTGGAATAGGAATTAATGTTTAACGGTATACGAAAGTTTAAGTGGAGTTTAAGTTTAAATAGAATTTTAAAAAAAATCGATTCGGGTTAATGCGTTTAAGACATAGTTTTACCTTTAAACATCCTAATGTTAACAATATATATCTATAAATATCTATAAGTACTGTTCTCCAAGCAATTTTATCGTTAAACCGCGTGGTTTGTTCCATCTGATTTTTTAAAATTTCGTCAAAATTTGTTCAATGTATGCTGACATTGTATGTTAACATTCCAGCGTTTCTGTTCCAAATATACTCGCATCTATTACTGGGATAATAACAACTTTTGAATTATTTTTGAACATTTCAAGGTTGATTTACGTAGGACCTTTTTTGATATAATGCAGGTTTTTGTGTCAAACGCTACTGATATTTCCCTTTCCTAAACTACTGAAATTTCTCGCCTCAATTTCTTATTGTTGTACTGACAACGGTACAAAGTTATGATTAACTACCTGAAATATTTCCGATTTCTTTCCATTGTCTCCAAGGAGTTATGTCTATTTATAGATATCCTTTATAGCTCTTTTATTAGTGATTAAGTGGAAGTAAAACTCAAGGAACGAGTAGTCGATATAAATCCAAAAATAGTTACTTCAAAAATGAAGCACCTAAAGCACCTGTACAATACGGTTTATAAGTAATGGAGTGCTTTGAAATCATTCAGTTAAAGCGTTGAAATCACAGTATAATGTTAACGATATGTGTTTTCAAAATTTATTCAAATACAATTTCATAACAGAAAAAAGGTAAAATCCTGAGTAAAAATAATAATTATAACACCATCGAATTTCCTCTAAATATATGAAATGACCTAAATTACCACGGAAATAGTTCCCACGAATTAGACGAAAATTTAAATTCTAAAATTATAGCCAAAACACTGCCCTTT